CCCCCCCTAATTAATTAATTATATATTTATAAAAATATATTAATTAAAAAAATTAAAAAACCATCGGAGGTCGTTTTTGACATCAGAAACTAACTTTAAATAACTTTACTGAATGAAAATCCGTGCGCTACAACTTAAAAACCATGAAATAATTTTGATAAAAAACTCCCATTAAAAAACAATTAAGCCTTAATCGAGCCTTCACATAGGCTCATTAAAATCGCGATAAAATTTTTTTGCGCGGGAAAAAAATTTTGAAAAAATTTCAGGACCTAAAAAGCATTCCAAAAATTCAAAAAAAAAAATTTTTTTTCGAAAATAGTTTATATATTCTAACCTTTTATCAATATTGGATGTTGCTTCGTCCATGACAAGAATTTTATTCTGACGAAGAATGGTCCTGGCAAGGCAAATTAACTGTCTTTCCCCAACGCTGAAATTCCGTCCTCCTTCTGATAAATGTGTATCCAATCCGCCAGGTAATTTACTAATTACTTCTTTTAATTGAACCTTTAATTCAGAAGTTTTTAAAATGTATATGTTATACACGATAATTAATTTTAATCATTAGAAAGAGTTAAAGAAATAAAACAGGTAGCAAATTAAACTAATTATTTCTAACCTCTTCAATGGCTTGCCACAGATTTTCTTCCGAATATTCATTGAAAGGATCGATGTTTCTTCGAAGAGGACCGGTAAATAACATCGGATCCTGAAAAAAAGTACATATCTGGTGTATTAATCGCTTCTGTTGTACAAGTCGTGTTTAGATATAATTTAATAGATATTGTTTTACATTTCTGTGTATAAATTGTCTACTTGGACCTAGTTTATTAATATGGCTTATTATACTGATGGAGACTTCGATTAGCAAAAAGACAAAATCATACTCCAAGTCAAAACAAAATATAATTATTTTCACTTGCTAATACATAGTACATCACAAAAATATTTTGAATAGGAAGATTATCGAGTTTCTGTATTTTTGCATCATTCAACACGTTATGTGAATGCAGAAAGTGATGTTTATTTTGTATCAGAGCAGGCTGTTGCATACTTTCGATTTGTTATGCACGCTCCTTAATTGCTCCTAATTACATTGTGTTAACCGGTCTACAAACTGAAACATTAAATTCACTAAACATTTGCATGCCAGATTATTAATTTGAGAATTTTAAATTATCAGCTATTATTTATATAGACTAATAAATTAACGGAATTTTTACTGTAATTGATATACTGTATATGTTATGGACCAAGTGATTAATAAGGCATGCAGTCTAAAAAATATTTATGAATTTATCAAATTGACCAGTCATTATGAATAGTGCTATTTCCTAGTCTCCAAAGTAATATGTTGACGAGTGATCATGCAACATATGCTAGCCAATCAGCACAACATCTGAGTTGCGCGTGCGTATTCCGTTTAATACTGAATTTTAAATTTATGCAACCAATAGCTAATGTTGTGAGAAATTTAAATTTGATTAAAAAACTTCACTTATTTCATTTAGAAATATTTATTAATTGTAAATTATTTTCCCTTGTCAAGTATTTTATAAAAAAACATGTAATCTTTTAAAACATCATCTAACTTTAAAACTTTAAAATCTAATCTTTTAGTACTATTAAATACATTACATAGGTAAAATTTTACCTATGTAATGTGCACACAAGTAAAATTTTACTAATTAAATTAACTTTAACGGAAAATAAACTTACAGGAAACTTCTGGAATTTTATTTTTGGTATAAATTATATAAAAAATTAAATGCCTTTTAGTTTATTGATTTGTGCAATTAAGATTTTGATGACATTTGAATTATATATATTTTTTTCTTTGTAGCATTTGTATCTATTAGATTTGCAACCAATTTTGCAACAGCATCGCCTATAACCTTGGCCTCCAGTAAAATTAAAATGTTGCACAGGATTAACTACTGGTTGCAAAAATTAAAATTCAGTACTAAACCGCACTATGCACGCGCAACTCAGATGCAATTGCTAATTGGCTAGTGCATGTTGGATGATTAACCTTAACATATTGTTATCACTTTGCCCAACTAGGTGATAGCACTGTTCATGATGATTGGTCAATTTGATAAATTATGTTAAAACACCTGAAATTTATTACAATGCCTGACTTTGTTTATCATTATTCATAATGCCCGGTCATTATGAATAATTCCCGTATCTACAACTATCTAAATGTAACAATCTAAATTTTTGTAATATTTTTTGTGATTTTTGAAATTTATACAATAGAAAAAGATTTGGTAAGGTAATGATAGATTTTTGTCTTGAAAACTAGCAATTACAGTCGACTCCTAGAACACTATTGATACGTTCCGTTTTTAATGAAATTCATGTTCTACGAGTCCTTAAATACGTAAGCCAATCACAGCCCGGCACATATTCAGTTTACGGACTACAGCTATTTGAAAGGTTTTCTTCCATAAAATCAATCGATTCTAGTCTAATTTGATTCAACATTTCGAAAACAAGTATAATTTTTTTGGGAATAATCCATATAATCTATGATATAAACAAAAAATTGTAAAATTACTTACTGAGTGTGCACCGTTTGACAATGCTATTGCTTAAGCTTGTTTTTGTCTTGGGCGCGCATCGAACGTCGGGCGCGTGTTTCCTGATAAATTATTTTTCTGCGAAATATTCGCAGAACTTTGGAGGCATCATTAATATAAATATAATTTTGATGGCCGTTAAATAATAAATGGTTTTTAGTAGGTCTGCTGATCGTTTAAACTTAACGGTTTTGTGCAATATCGGCTATTGGTCTAGGTTCGACCAATCCTATCGCGACACGAGTCGGCAATGACGTTTTACCGTATTTTACGAGTTTCTTTTAGCGTGTTTATACGAATTCGGTCGCAATTTTTTCGCCATTAATTATTTCGCCGTTGTATACGAATCCGCATTATATGAACCTGTTTTATAGGGGGGTCTACTGTATTTATTGTGGCATCGTTATAATGCCAGATTGCAATTTTTTTATCATATTTGTAATTAATTTAGAATATATGCTCTCCACCTAAAATTAGTAACGTACTGTCTTGTTCTAGTACATCATACTTCTCTGTTAGCAATGGAGTCGTACCTGTCATTTATCTAACTGTTTTCAGTGGTAAATGAATTGAAATAACATGTCTTCTGGTTTGCAGCGAAGTTCATGTATAGCTAATCAGGGTTTACTTCCCCAATATGGCCTTGAATTGCCATATCTGCTGTTGAATTTCATCTGGTTTTGGAGTTTGAGAAAAGATAGACAGTGAGACAGAGACAGTAAGAATTTATAGGTTTATTATTGGTCTTATATAGGCCCATATATAATTTAAAATTTTATATTTAGCATTATTGGATGCAATTTTTACCAATTACAGCCTAATCCTGAAATATACTTACCTGAAATATTATTACTGTAACATCAGTAGACTATATAGTAATTTTATCTTCAAAAAGTTTCATGTTTAGCATATCATAATGCATATTTTTTTAGCATCAAATATGTGGTATAAATTCTAAAAACTACACATCATTTATCACTCAGCTAATTACCAGGCTCTAAATAATTAGAATAAGTGAATGGCAGGGGTAATACGAAGGTAAGATTTGGCAACATAATGACAGGTGACATAACTTTCAAAAAACTATTCTGTTTTATTTGGACATATCACTACGCACTCTCAATCACAATGTGTGTACTTGTGGGACAAACGAAAAAGNCAAATTATAGAAGCTTCTAAAAATATTTTAATATGTAAATAAACAAGTCCCAGATATTTAGTCAATTAGAAAATTTATATTAAAAAATTTAATTAATTGAATTTAAATTTGTTTATCCAATATTCTGGAGCGAAAATCGTATATTATTTTTCCCAATCTTTTCAACTGCTAGGAAATCTAAACAATTGGAATGAGGGTGGAATGCTGGCTTATAGAAAATTTCCACGCTTAGTAAAGAACATATTTTATTTTTCTAGAAGAAATATAATTTATTTATAGCCTAAAGGACCATCTTTCGACTCTTGTAGGATTGCGGTTGGGTAATGTTGCGATTTGATGCGATTCTTTCGGGCGTAAAACAAGCTGATTTATTGTTATCTAAATGGGCCTTAGGCATCTCTAAATTTCTTGGTGAGAAGTGTTTGTTACTTCGTTTCTACCACGATATTTGCACCTAATGAAAAGTAATGAGATGAAAGGCGAATAGCCTTAAGATTTTACGATTCTGTTTAAACAAATGTGACGTAAAACAGATAAGACGTTATAAACATCCAATTTTATTAATACAATGGGAAATTATTGTTTTGTATTATAATTCTTCCGACTATTTTGTTCAAAATACAAAAATTCTTTAGTAAATGACAACAAAAACTAATAACAAATTTAATAAATTTATTGTCAAGTGTTATTAAAAGATTTTATTTTCTCATTAAAAACATTTATTTATCTGGAAAAATACTTTACATTTGTTTTGTATTATAATTCTTCCGACTATTTTGTTCAAAATACAAAAATTCTTTAGTAAATGACAACAAAAACTAATAAAATATTTAATAAATTTATTGTCACATACTTGAGGAATGATAGATATTTTGCTACGAAGATCCCGAAGTCCGATATCTTTAACGTCAACTCCATCGATAGTTATTGTCCCTGACGGCTCTGTCATGCGAAATAACGAAGCAATTATAGAACTTTTTCCTGCTCCTGTTCTGCCCACAATTCCTATCTGCAACTCATAAATAACACAAATCATTTCTGACAATAATTATTAGCAACAATCTTTAGAATTTTTAGATATTTTACCTTTTCTCCCGAGTAAATACGAAATGTTAAGTGCTTTAAAACAGTATTTTTGTCCTTCGAATATTGTAAAGAAACATTATCAAAATGAATTTCTCCTTTTTGTGGCCAATCTGGGGGTGGCTGTTTATCGGGAGAACTTTCGTATGATGCTTCTGATTTCAATTTGGTATAATTCAGTATACGTTTAACAGAGTTCATCTGGAAAAGCGACTTTGTATAAAGTAACAATGCATGAAACAAATTAATGTAAAAATATATATTATGCAGAGTTATATTAAATGTACAGAAGTTTATAAAACTGAAGATAGAGTTATTTTTATGTAAGAATGCACAGTGACCGGATTTATATTTGATCGTTATTTCGTTGTATTTAATCACTAAATACTTGCAATTTACAATTTTTTCGATAATATGTATGGATATTAATTCAATATAAATTTTCAACATTAGGAGTTTTTACTGTTTTTTTTCGTTTAATTACCTTAAATTTAAACATTTTTCTTTACAATATTATGTAAAACAGCTTATGTTTTTGTGTAATGTAAAGTTATAAAAAAATTTGTTTTTTTACGTTTTACTTCAGAACATATATTATTAATATTTAAAACTCCACATTTTTCAAATTTCATATTTCAGTTTTAAAACAGATTATAAAATAACTTCTTAGTAATGATCCTATGTTGTTAGTTTTGAAGAATTCAACTTTGATGCTTTGAAAGATAATACCTGAACAACGTCAGGAATATTTTCCTCTATGTTCCATTGTTCAACTGCTCGTTTCACATATTTATATGTATAAGAGATCCAATTATATTTTTAAAACATAACGATAATACTCGAACCAAAGAATAAATAAAAAAATTAAAGAGGGCAGATTTTCAAATCTTCTTTAAACCCAATTATGCAATTACTGAAATTGACGAAAAGGCTATGGATAAATTTCAAACATTAAAATTCCTCTTAGGAGTTGTAGAAACTAATACAACAAAGTATGAAAATTTTATCGTATTTTGAAAAATAGTAGCAGGTAAAACATAATATATAGAGTTAGATATGACTGAATGTTTTTCTACTTGATAATCTATAACGATACAGCTGTACATATGATCGTTACCTGTTAGAGAATAAAAAATTTTTCAAATTTCATTGTCTTTGTGTTTTTGTATTGTTATGAATGCATAAATTACACGCTCATCTTAAGTGTGTTTATTTTTTCAAGTGAAGGATAGTGTTTCTTTTTTCTCTTTGAATGCGAGTCAGAAAGTTCTTTCTTCTAATATTAAATAGTGGCTGAAAATGGTTGTTTAGTAGATCGCAAAAATTAAGTTAAAAAAACAATGAATTGTAATGAACTCTCAAATTTATTTTAACTTCAAACTCTCAATTTAACTGTAATTATAACAGTTAAGATAAAGTTAATTAAGATGACCTAGTATGAAATTACCAAGAGTTTAGAAATAAAACTGTTATCTGCTAATAAAATTATGACATTTTACAAATGAGGATCAACATGTAAACTAAAGATATGACAAATATATGTGAATTTTTACGACAGAAACAAAAAATATTAACAATGATTGTGATAAAGCAGAATCAAACCCGTAAGAATAGCCTGTGACAAAATAAAGATTCTTGTTTCGAATTGAGTTGCTGAAAGCGGAATGAAAATGTTTTGAGAAAAATTTTTGGAATAATGTCTTAGAAGTAGAGGAATGTTTGTAATCGCTTCATTTCTCATACGGAAAATGATTTTTGTTATAACAAAACACATTCTCTTTGTTTTTTGACCCACATCTCTCCAAGATATGAGTCAAATATTTACACACTCATAAAACAATTAGCGGTATATTGACTTTTAGAGTAGGCACTGTAGCGAGTTCTATTATTTTTCTATTATCTATAATGAATATAGTTTAACTACCCTGACCGAAAAAGATAACACCGTTTTATATAATTTAAAACGAAGCACATATCAATAGGATGAAGTTAAAATAGATTATGATAAGTGGAAATTCCATATGTCTTATCAAGTGTTTTGAGATCGAATTACATTAAAATAAATACACAGAACTCACTTGTCAGTGGCATAGCGTAGTTGGAGGAGGCAGGGGCGTCCCGCCCCGGGTGGCACTTTTAGGGGCCGACAAAATTTCATAATAAATAATAATAATATCTTGTAAAAATTTGAACCATTCATTTCATATTTTTGTCGCACCTACGATTCGGACCAATTGAAATGAACACGGAATTTTTCATTACTTATTCTGTGACGAAACTGAATTTTAGTCTTTTAAATTGGGATACCTAAATAAGGAAGCGGCGAAATTTTCCTCTGCCCTGGGCGGCTGAAATCCACGCTATGCCATTGACAGAACTCATTTTTTCAAAACACAAGTAGTTTACATTATTAGATAAACAAGAAAGTACAAAAATAGATAATGTAATCGTAATTTTTCATACACTGAGACCATTTGGCTATGTCAAGACAGGAGCTTGGCATCTGTAAGATGATTATTCTTTTGGCGACAAAACACGAGCAGCAAAGGGTTTGAAAAATTAATAACTTTTTAATAATTTTCAAATTAAAACAGTAAAAACGGTGTGTTAAATCTTTATGAAAAAATGAAAGTAATTACTCAAAAAAACAGAACATTTCATGCAGAAAAAAAATAACTTTATAATTCAAAAATAAAAAATATACTGCCTGGAAAATTAAATAAAAAGTAGATGCTTGAGTAAAATAATGAAAGAATTTCACACTAAGCTGGCAAACTTCAGGCTACTCTTATGAAAAATTAAATGAATTAGTTATTAATTACAATTAGCCAGTATATGAATTAAAATAATATCAAATATATTTAGCAAAACAACTGTAATTGTTTCAATACATCCCGATAATAATGATTTTCCAACTATTTCCCAAATAGATTCAATGATATTATAATAAAAAAGAAATTAATTAAAATGAGTGATTACAAATTTGTCATTAAAAAAGTCAAAATTGTGGGTGAAATAAGATTGGAAAATATCGCCGAATTTAATGATTAATATATCTTTTATTACTTAATTTTGTTTGGTTTCAAGTTGGTTTCAATTCGAAGATATTTTGACTTGTAATTGTATGGAAATTGACTGTTTGTAAAAAATGTTGAAGCTTTAATACTTTGTAGTATTTGGCAATGTAATTTTTACTAATTTCATAACATAAGCTTTTTTTTGTGTGAAATATTTAGTGTGAATTTCCTATCGAAAATTCACTGTAAATGGTCAGAAATGAAAATATTTTGTTGATTGTGAGTAAAGAATGTGTGTCCATGTGATACACATTCCACTACTGAATATAAAGAGAAATTATTATTTTATAATTGTGTAAAAGTATTTAAATATGAAAAAAACCAGAAAGATTCCCCTGTTTGTCTTTATTTTCATGAAATGTGTTGAATAAAATAGTTAGAAAATGTGGCTGTATTTTGATAAAAAGAGCATTCCTTGCAAGTACAGTCGATACCCCTGTAAGACGGTAGATACGTTCCGTTCTTTATGAATCAATTTTGTAGGAATCACAGCCAATCACAGCCTGACACGTGTGAAGTTTACGGACTATGGCTGTTTGAAAGGTTTTCTTCCATAAAATTAATCGATTCTAGACTAATCCGATTCAACATTTCCAAAATACGTATATATTTTTTGGAAATATTCCGTATAAACTACGCTATAAACAAAACATTGTAGGATTACTTACCGAGTGTGCACCATTCGACATCGCCGTTGCTCAAGCTTGTTTTCATCGCGATATCTGATGTTATTTTTCTGCGAAAACTTCGTTGAACATTGGAGACATCATTAATATAAATAATTTTTATTGCCGCTGAATAAGAAATGTTTCTTTCACAAGAAATGTATAAAATTACAGTGCTGTATTAGACTTACGGTACCTAATTTACATACTATACAGATATAGCTCGCCTAAACTGTCCGTAGCGAGACGCTAGACGGCGGAAAGTATATATATAATTATAATAAAGTTACAATAAATTAAGTTAATATATAATTATATATACAGTACCTAATTTATATATAATTAAT